CTCACAGATACTTCTCTGCCAAAGCTCGGAGCTGTCTCCAGGTGTGCATGTGAGAGCACCTGTCAGAATGTAAAAAAAAGGCTGGACCCTTGATCCAGCTGCTTTACTAAGTATTCTCCAGATGTGTACTTGTACATGTATAGGATCAAGTACACAAAAGGATTACTTGCTAGTTTGTAATAATAGTCAAATGCAGCTCTCCCTGAAATGTTTAGTGACAGCAACTGGTTACATAAATGACCCTTCTATGTATGGGTTACTGTAATGATTAATACAACAGCTGCACCAATACAGCGGTATTAATACAGCAGCAGATATAAAAAACATTTGTATGAAATACAAAGATATTGATACTTGAAAAGAATTGATGGAATCTTCTGCCACTGTGATGGAACCCAGTGGCCGAAGAGGGTTGAGAGGTAGACTTAGCTTACTGTGCAGGATTTTGAAATGGTTTTTCTTTCTGAAGTCTAGGGCTACAGGTGTCACTGTGCCTAGTTCTTTTTTTGTTTTCATTTAAAAATAAATTACCTTTTGTAATTGGATGTTTTTCTCCTGACTACCCAGTCTCAAATAACCATTCTAAGTCTTATATTAGTTACAAATACTCAGCAGTTATCTCAGCCTTATTACTAGCTCATTTTTAAAAAGATTTATTTATTTATTTATTATGTGTACAGTGTTTTGCCTGCAGGTCAGAAGAGGGCACCAGATCACATTATAGATGGTTGTGAGCCACCATGTGGTTGCTGGGAATTGAAGTCGGGACCTCTGGAAGATCATTCAGTACTCTTAACCCCTGAGGCATCTCTCCAGCCCATATTACTAACTCACTCTTACACTTAAAAGTAACCCATATTCCTCATTTGCTCTCTGCCACATGGCTGTACTTCATTAGCATGGCATTTTCATCTCCTGCTCCCTCTGCATCTGGCAGGTGACTCTATGACTCTGCCCTTCCTCATCCCATCATTCTGTTTGGCTTTCCCTCCTAACTTTATCCTGTTCAGCTACTGGCCAGTCAGCTTGTTTATTAAACCAATCACAGTGACATATATTCACAGTGTACAAAGAGATTATTCCACAGCAACCTGGGTTCACCTATTCTACCATGTTGGGTCTTGTGGTCTCCTGGTTACAGATTGGGGAGGCGGGATAAGGCTTTCTTCCAGTTTCTAGGCATTTAAGCGGCTTCCTTCTGGTTTCTTTTCCGTGATCTCAGACCTCGAAGTTAAAATCCTAGAGCATGTGGATCAGATTTATCTTGCTGCTAGCACCTAGGCAACCCTTGCAAAGGAATAGTAATTGTGACCTTCATTTAATAGATGGAAGTCAGGGAGGTTCAAGGTCATGTATAGAGATGGGATAAAATTTCATGAACTATAAACTCACGATAGCCCATAATGGTTCTTACAAAGATGTTCCCACGGAAGCATTACCTTTTTTTTGGGAGGGCAGGTTGAGACAGGGTTTCTCTGTATTGCTATGGAGGCTGTCCTGGAACTCACTCTGTAGACCAGGCTGGTCTTGATCCCCCTGCCTCTGCCTCCCAAGTGCTGGGATTAAAGTTGTGCACCACCACTTTTTTCAATGCAGTCAGTTTTTGCTGAAGGCAACTGCCTTTCTCTGATGCTTTCTCGGTGAGCTATTTGTTTTTGAGATAGAGACTATGCTTCCCTGACTGTCCTGGAACTATGTAGACCAGGCTGGCCTCAAACTACCAAGTGCTAAAACTGAAGGCATGCATCACCACACAGGCCAATCCTCTGGAGTTAAGAAAACATCCCTCTCAGATTTAGGTTCACAGCCTAGGTGTCCTGTGACCGCATGTAATAAGATCAAGGACATTAAGTCCCAAGGCTTGCCAGTGTCAATATGAACTGAAATCATTTATGGCATTGTCTTCCCCTCTTAACTTCCCATGACACGGCTCCACAGTGGATTGATGTGCAGAATTATTAAACTGGATGCAGCAGTGTAGACATGATCTCCTTTGAAGATGGTTTAGGAGAAACACAGGAGATACCCCTTGAAGATGACTGAAGCTGAAGTCCTTGCCTAGAGACCTGACCGACCTGAGACCCGGTTGTTATCTATTTGGTTGGAAGCTCTGTTTTTATTTGCTAAGAGAGTAGCCAAGTCAGCTATTTCATTGTATCAGGTAGCACTAAGATAATTTTTATTACTCTGTATTTCATTGGTCTTTACTAATAAACCAAGTCCCCCTTTTCTCACACACACAAAAAAGAAAACATCCCTCTCTTTTCCTGTACTCTGTGCTGGTGATTGCACTGTAATTGTACTCCAAAAGCACTGGATTACAGACATACACCACCATACTCAGCTATTTGCTCATTCATTCAGATAGGGCCTTGTTTTGTAGCCCAGGCTGGCCTGACACTCAGTTACTCAGGTTATAAATTCAGGCCTCAAATTCATGGTAATTTTCCAGCCTCACCCTTTCAAATGCTGTGATGATAGGCATAAGCTACTGTACCTAGCTCTTTTGTACCTTACTTATGTGGTTTATTTATAACCGATTTTTCAATTAGTATTTGATGAAATCCAGGTGTAGGAGGAACACACCTGTAATGCCAACGGTTAGAAGGCAGAGGCAGAAACACAATTTCCAGGCTAACCTGGGCTACATAACAAGACTATCTCAAAAAGAAAAAAAACCAAAACAACATACTGAGATGTGATATGCTATCAAAGCTGGAACTAAAAGAGATGTGCACAGTAAACAAATAGCAGGGCCTTTAATGTGGGGAAAGGAACCTAGAAATCTCATGATTGTTTTTGCCTTTTGGTCTTGATTTCAGTCCTCTCTCCTTGGGACAAGAAGATGACTCAGTGGATAAAGTGCTTGCTGTAAAAACATGAGGACTCAAGTTCAGATCCCCAATATCCCTGTAAAAAGCATGGGCTGGCAGCACATAACTGTAACCCTCGTGCTAAGTGGTGGTGGGTGGAGGGAGCAGAGACGGGGATCCCTGGCATCTGCTAGCTTGGGGAGGTAGCTGCTAAGTGCTAGCCTGGCATGCACAAAGCCAAGGTCAATCCTCAGAGCCACATAAAACCAAGGGAGGTAGCACACACTCATAATACCAGCATTTGGGAAGCAGATGAAAGAGATCAATAGTTCAAGGACAGCCTGAGATACATGAGACCCCACCTTAAGAAAATCAGATAGTGAGCAACAGCATTCAGGCATCTACCTCACCCCTGTCCTGTCTCCTTACTAGTTCGAGGACTGCACAAATTGACTCTTTGTCCTCATGTTTGTGAGCAGTGATGCTTTTAGCCTATTTTGGATACATTTATGAATTTAAGATTTCCAAAGAGCTGGAATAGAGTCTGGTACCTGGAAAGCTTCACATGTGTATTAGGTATTGTTGACCAGATTGACTACACAGTAACACGGCTCGACACCAAGCTGTCCCTTTTGCTGCTGCTTCACTTAAACTGTGTTCTTTTTTGAGACAGGGTTTCTTTCTGTAGCTTTGGAGCCTATCCTGGCACTCGCTCTGGAGACCAGGCTGGCCTTGAACTCAAAGAGAATCACTTGCCTCTGCCTCCCGAGTGCTGGGACTAAAGGAATAGACCACCACCACCTGGCTAACTACTTGTGTTCTTAAATCACATTTCACATACAACATTCTGCCTCTACGTATGCCTTGCACGTCAGAAGAGGACACCAGATCTCATTATAGATAGTTGTGAGCCATCATGTGGTTGCTGGGAATTGAACTCAGGACCTCTGCAAGAGCAGCCAGTGCTCTTAATTTCTGAGCCATCTCTCCAGCCCCTAGCAAGTACCTTTTAACACTATTATGTGCCAGGCAATACTGTAGGCACCAGGAATACAGCAGACAACAGTTTGTGTTCTCCTGGCTGGCTGGGGAAAGGGCAAATTAACAATAAACAGCCAAGAAAAATACTAGGTAGGTGATACGACCCAAGAGCATAAGTGAGGGTCCAAGAGTGAGTCTCCTAGTGGCACTTTACACCAGAGGTCTGAGGAAGGCCCCATACAGGTAGATCGGATCGAAAAAGAGAAGTCATGCCAGTGTTGCTGAGATCCATCTGTGTCATCTCACAGCTCACCTGTCTCCTCCCAAGTGCCTTTAGCCTCCTCTGCTTGGAAATACCCAGGGTCTTGGCTCACACCAATCATTTTTCCTGTCCCTCTACCCAGGAGTCTCTCTTGGGGTCCATCTCAAGGTGTGACCCTTGTCACTGTCTCTATAAAGACAAAGCCTCCACATCACTGCACTGGTTCCCACCTCATGCCCTGACCATAGAGCATTTTCGTGGAGCTGTGTCCTCCACCGCGTTGCGAAGGACTTAGTAACAAGCATCACGCATTAACTATTTCTACTTGTCTCCAAAGACCCGTGTTCAGATAGAAAACGTGGGACCCAACACATCCTGTTTGCACTAAAATCTTCCGAGATGGGCCAAGGCGTGGTGGCGCACGCATTAATCTCTACACGCGTGAGGCAGGCAGGTCGAGGCTAGCCTGGTCTACACAGTGAGCTCCAGGACAGCAAGAGCAAATAGTTAGGCCCTGTCTCAACATCCCCGACAAAATCTCCACAGGTGATCTATCAACCAATATCATCAGTTGGCGGAACCCTGACTATGCAGAAAATTAGGTTTTAGATGCCCAGGAGGTACCCTAGAAGGGCTCCAGTATGCCACGCCTGGAACCCAAAGTCCCACACACAGGTCTAATCCACTCACGGCAACTCTGTCCTTCAGGCCATTGAGGGAAACCGTGAGTGGCCACAGGCCGGCAAAAAACTCCTCCAGCACACACCAGGAAGTCACCTCTCCGAGACCGTCCCCATCAGGAGTTAAATCTACCGCGCGAGGTTGGACATTAAGCGAGCTGTTTGAGCACTGCACACAGGCGCGCACACACGCACGCAACTGCCTTTATTGGGAGCTGTCTCTCAGGAGAACAGCGGCCCGCGGCGCAACACTAGAGCCCCGGGATGTTAGGCTCGCGGTTGGCCAGGGGGACGGACGCGCGCTCTGGTTGGTGGAGGAGGGGTCACGAGGACGCCGTCGTCGCCTTTCCAGAGGCGATTACTGGGCAGGCTCAGTCTTTTGCCTCAGACGCTAGCTGTAGCTGGCAGTCGCTCGTACGTGCTCCAGAGTCCACCGTGCCCGTCGCTGCCGCCCAGCTCGCGTGG